GTGCTGCCGAGTTAATGTGTATGTCTTGTTTTATATAAAGAAGCTATACGCCGCTCTGGAGTCACAGACCTTGAGTGCAGTGAAAATAGATTCTCGTCTTCAGCCTTAGGGCACCTAAACGTGTCTTTTCAGATTTGGTGATGGCTAGGTCTATGATCATTGAAGCGCTTCAAATTACATCAGGATGAAAAGGGGAAGGAGGTACATGGGATATGAAAAAAGAAAGAAAATTATATTCATTCTTCCCCCTTATCTACCTTTTACATCAGTGCTTGCAGATAGGGCTTAGAATAGGTAATGAGCTCAAGTCCCATCTGCCACATCCTCTGTAGGTAAAGCCAAGAGTCCTGTCTGTCATCCATAAGGTGTGGTGTCTTATAGAAGAGTGGTTTAATCCTTACACTAAAACATGTTTTGTGGGATTTTTTTTTTTCTCGTATCAGCTTGGAGAGCTGTGATTCATCATCAACTGCTGTGTAAAAATGACGTCTTGAGTTCAAGTTCTGAACTTTTGAAGAAGTCAATATATCATTGTGCGGCGAGACCACAGTGCAAACACACCGGCAGGTGCACACAATCAAAAACAGCCTGTCAATCACAAATGCAAACACATGGTGGGACTTACACAGACATGGCAGGCCAAGGTCGGACAGGGGTCAGCAGGTCAGTGATGTTTGAAGGGAAAGCGGGGATTGAGGTTTACAGCACCATCGCCATATGAACACATGACAGGAAGACTAAGAGGCTATTAAATCGCTTGCTTTTATGGGTGTAATAATCCCTGTCCTCTGCCAGAGAGTCCAGCTGAGCATCCAGATTAGGTGGGAGGTCTAACCAGAAGCATGCTGTCAGCTAATGCCAGGAAGCTCTCAAAGCCCAACAGGACTGCAGACATCACTTCATGTCGCAGTCAAAGCAACTGTTTGCTCCGGAGCTTAACTTCATGTGCAGTGACATTTTTTTTTTAAGAGTTTTATCTCATGTTTACTGTTGTGTTTGGAAGCTAAGAGATGTGACGATAGCATGGTCCTGGTGAAGTGATTCATGCTCATGAGATGAATGAACCTAACCCAGTGTCATTCAGGATGTTGTTACCATTTTGAGATATTTTAAAATAATTTTTTTTATGCCTGTGGTTCAAATTAAGTGCCTAGATGTGTAATTATTTTCTCTTATTAAATCTAGAAATTTAGCCTTTTTCCAAAACGGTTTGTATTTAAAACGTTTTTGTACGTATTATGAATTGCACCTGTCTCTATAAATCTTTACTTTTTGTGTCATTATTTATTGCACCTGTTTTAGATGGAACCACATTTCTGAGAAAGTGACCACAAAAATGTCCAGTGCTCTGTATTATATAACAGGTGTTATATAAAGTGTTGCGTCCTTACATGCTAATGAAAAGCTTAGTTTGCACTTCTGTACACACTATTTACCTAATCTCATAAAACTAATTTGCCTGTGAATTAAATAAATAAATCTCTAAAAAACTCATGGGAGTGGAAGAACAATCTGTGGCGTAAACCTCATCAGTGAAATCATCTGCTAACAACTGCCTTGTGTCAAGATGTCACAATACATCGCAGCAGGCGATATTCAAGTCAGCTCAGAGATAAATTGAAGATACAAGTGGGACTTGCACAATATTAGGCTGATGGTTACCTCGTTATAGTGGAATAGAGTATATGAGAAGATACAGACCATTACAGAAGTTTTCATGCCTTGAAACTTTTCACGTTTGTAACTTTACAACTAAGGATTCCATAGAGGTTTAAGTTGATAAACCAACAAATGTAGGTACTTTAACATTATTAGAAATCTAAATGTGGAAAATGTTCTGTTTGTCTGAGCAAAGAAGTGACTTCTGAGTCACTTCTTTGCGCCTTTTACTGCAAATACAATTGCAGGTGTTTTAAAATAATCTAAGTTATATATTGCTGCAGATAATTGACTGTAACCTAGTCGGGCCATTTTAACACATAAATTTCCTTTATTCCAAAACTATTCCATTGTTGCTCAGGGTGTGGTTTTTCTGGTGGAAGGTGAATATCCACTCCAGTGTTGAGGCTCTGGCTGTCTTTCCAATTGCTCTATATTTAGCTCCATCCATCTTCCCAAAACCTCTCACCATATTTCATGACTTTCTCCTGCCCATGATTCTCAGTGGGGATGATGTGTTTATAGTGATTTGCGGTGTTAGTTCCCACCATACTCAGAGTTTTGTATGTAGCATATGTGTGTGAAACAAGGTTTGGTCCAAGCTGGACATAACACCTTCTTCCATGTGTTTGTTGTGTCCCCTGCATGGTTTGTGGCAAACTGCAAACTGGATTTCTTATGATTTTGTCTTAAAATGTGACTTTTGTCTTTTCCATTTTGCAAACTGTAAAATGATGGACTCATAGTTGTCCAAACAAAAGATTCTCCCACATAAGCCGTGGACGTTTGCAGCTCCTCCAGTGTCACCACAAGTCTTTTGGCTGCTTCTCTGATCAGTGTTCTGCTTGTCTGGCCTAGTAGTTCAGAGAAACTGCCATATTTTGGGAGGTTTACAGTTTTTCTAATCAACTGCATTGGGGTTGCATTGAATCATAGGTGTCAGAGTTCAATGTAAATGCAATCCACACTTTGATTTTTATTTGTTAAAAATTCTAAATGCAAATTGCATTTATTCACGACTATGTGTAGGTCTATCAAAAATAATACAAATAAATACATTTACTGCTATAAAGTGACAAAATGTGAAAAAATCTGAATTCTGTTGAGGGGTTTTACATATAATCATCTCCTTTTCTCTCTCTTTGTAAAGGAAGTTCAGAACTAGTTCAGAACTAAGCAGTCTTTGTGTAAAAGTCTAACAAATCTGACTACATCTCTGTAAGCCCACATACAAATAGAGCAGGGTAACCGCAGAGATCTCAAAGCAGTCAGTGGTGAAGCCCAAAATTCACATAGGACCTCAAACCCCCCACGTTGAGCAGCAATTGGAGAAACCATTTAAAGGAATGTACCCTGTTTACTATTGACATTGCAACAATTACCCAAGCATATGTGTGTGTAATTAGATAAGGCAGCCAGTTGTTCTCTAATGCGGCAAATCAAATTAACTAAAGATGCCACATTGATTTCTTTGTGTTGCCTAAATTATTCATCTTCACTTGCAGTGAACCAGTCAGCCAGCCACCAGAGAGCTTTTTTAACTCCACTGCACCACTACACGCTTTCTGCCTGCATTCAGTGATTGTATTGCAAAATCCTTCCAAGTACCTTTTGCAAGAAATTGTCATATTTTATTTAACAAACTGGCTAATTTACTCTCTAGACTGGTTTGCCATGTTGTGGAAAGCACAGAAATCCCATCAATGGCGGCAGCTCTGACCTCCATTACTGCTGTCGTATTTGTGTGAGAAAGAGGGGGAGGGAAGCGACACTGATGTAAGAATTCATGAGGCGCTCAGGCTGCAGACAACCTCATCTCAAGCTGCTCCATTGACATCCTGTTCCCTGGCATGTTGCGCTTAGGGAGATCAATATGACCTTACCTCCACTGCACGCTCCTTTGAAACTTAATTACTGATATTCAGCTACAAAGTCATCATAGTCTGGCTGTCAATATTCATTGGGGATCATTACGGTCCTAATAAAAGAGGTTATTTACGGGCTGCTCTGCTGACACCAGCCCAGGTCCAGGAATCCAGCTCCAGCCATCTCAATTTGCTGTGCCTCTCTCTCTCCCTCTCCCAGAAGCACTGACCTGAAAAATAAAAATTGACAGCAGAGAAACAAACAGGAGAGAGGACGGAGGGTGAATTCATCGGGCTTTTCTTTTAATTCTCTTAGCTATGTTTGGAGGTTTTTCCAACCTGATCCAAATAAAAAAAAAAGAGGAAATAAGTAGCCATATCCCAAAATCCCTAACTAAATTTTCACTTTGGTTACCATCAATGTTGCACTCCAACCCACTGAGGAATATTTTATAACATTTATTTAAAAAAGGGCAGATTCTTGCTTTTCATTCCTCAAGCAGCCGGGCATTGTGTTTTTCAAGGCCATTCAGCTATGATTCACGCTCCTCCACAGAAAGCAATTTAATCCGCAGCAAAAGCAATATACAGCACTGCCGAGGTCCCAATCCTGACATTGTACGCCAACAAAGAGCTGTGTGATTGTTGGAGTTTGCTATATGTTAATTCATTCAATAAATCAATAGCTTCACTGTAATTGAAGTAGTTTGCTGTTTGACGCAACATGTTGAAAAGTGAAAGGCGGAACAGTGAACCCTGTGGATCAAATGAAGTACTGCATCCTCCTCTAGAACTATCCATGCACCCACACGCATGCTAAAAGACACATGTGCACGCACACAAGCATGACCGCACACTTCCCTTTGGTGTCTTGATTAATATGGTCTACCCTACATCAGTGCACTGGATGCCAGTATTCACTGCAATGCCTTCCGCGAGCAATTAGCAGAGAGGCTCCACCAGCATTGGATTATCCACAACAAAATGCCTCCTGACGCGCGCCCTAAAGACTGCTGACTTATTCATATGCATTTACTTTTAAAAGCCTCTGGCCTGCTTTTAAAGGCAGGGCTGCCTCAGAATTGAAATAAGATCAACATCTGGGAGGAAAAAGAGATGGGAGATGAGACATGCAGGCATAATAGGTCTGCAAAGAGGTAGCTGAAAGGAGTGGGAGAGAGGGGGAAGAAGGTTTGGAAATGATATTGGTGTCAGTTCCTCCTGCAGCAAAGACACCTGGACGAGATTTTAACTGCATTTTGTTGATGCAGGTTTTTGCTTTTTAATTTTGAAAGTTCTCCACTTGTTGCCACAATTATGGCAGATTTGGCAAAATATAGACTCTGACTCATAGTGATATGTTTTCTAAAGAATTATTATTTGCATTTTGTCCCTCTAGCTCTGAATATTATTAATAATTAAATTCACTGTCCGAATCTAATTTGTCTGTGTGCTTCATCTCTTTCTTGTCTCCAGGGACCCCAACAAACCAGTTCCCCAAGACACCAAGTTCATCCACACCAAGGCTAATCGTTTCGAAGAGGTGGCCTGGTCCAAGTACAATCCCCAGGACCAGCTCTATCTGCATATCGGCCTGAAGCCGCGTGTGCGTGACCACTACCGGGCCACCAAAGTGGCCTTCTGGAAACACTTAGTGCCCCATCTCTATAACCTACATGAACTGTTCCACTACACCTCTACGACCACCAAAGTGCCACCCCCGGAGACCACACCGAAAAGCGTGTCCACCAAGAGGCCCAATGGAAAAAACTGGCCCTTCAATACCAAGCGCCCCCCCATGTCGCCTACCTACAACAGCGAGGATAAGGAGTCTTGGAGCGAGGATGAGGAGACGGGGCCTCTTGTGGTCGACAACCCGAGAGACTATTCCACAGAGCTCAGCGTCACCATTGCGGTGGGAGCCTCGCTGCTGTTCCTGAATGTCCTGGCTTTCGCAGCCCTCTATTACCGCAAGGACAAGCGGCGGCAGGACTCCGGCCATGGACAGCCCAGCCCGCAGCGCCAGACCACCTCCAACGACATTGGTCACCACGCACCCGAGGAGGAGATCATGTCCTTGCAGATGAACCAGACGCACCACGAGTGCGAGGCGGGGAACAGCAACGAAGGGGCGCTGCGCCTGGCCTCGTTGCCCGACTACACGCTCACACTGCGCCGCTCCCCAGATGACATCCCCCTCATGACGCCCAACACCATCACCATGATTCCCAACTCCCTGGTGGGCATGCCCAACCTCCACCCATACAACACCTTCACAACTGGCTTCAACTCCACCGGCCTGCCGCACTCCCACTCTACCACCCGCGTATAGCTTTAAGGAGGCCAGGGTGCGGGGGGTGGCCAGCGCAGGCGGGAGAGAAGGAAGTGGTGGTGGGTTGGCGGAGGAGGAGCAGGAGGATGAATGAATTGAGGAGAGGATTGTGTTTTATAAATATCACAGGCAGGGGAAGGGCTGCGTGGGGGCAGGGGTGTGGAAGGGCAGGAGTGGGATTAAAACGTGCAGAGATTTAACTAGACTTTTACTATGACGAGAGCAGCCGAGAGCTCTCTGTGGATGTCAAGTTGTGCAGAGCTGCCAAAATCAAACTGCTTTCCTTCTCCAGAAAGAGGAGGAGGTGGTCTTTCTGCAGTGTTTTTTTTTTCTAAAATTAATCATTTTAAAAGCCTTTTTAAGCAGACTGAGGAGATATCAACACTTTTTTTTCTTGAATTCAGAAGAACAAAAAAAAAAAAATCAAAGAGAAGTGCTTTTTATTTCCCCATCCCTTCCTCCTGCGGGAGACATCTAGAATGACGGCCTCCGCGTCAATATTTGCGAATATTTTTAATTGCTTCTTTGTTTTCTTTTTACGTTTCAATGCCTTACTGAGCTCTTTTCTTTTCTGTCATTATTTCTCCTCCCTGAGACAATTCAGCGCGGAGTGTGTTACAAAGTAAGATAAGACTCAGAGATGAGAGACTGAATCCAGGATGGGAATCTAGAGGATATGCAGATGTAGAGATTTTAAAACCCATTTTGGGCAACTCTTTTTCTTTTTTTTTCTGTTGTTGTGGTTATTTTTTGTTTACTTCTCTGGTGCATACCAACGCAACAGCCACACAGACAGTGTTATCCTTTTTTAAACTAGAAATGATTTGTGTGAGACTGTTCTTGCCAAGACATGAGAAGGTGGAGATGAATACTACGTTACTGTGATTGTTTTAAAGAAAAAAAAAAGTGCATCTTTTACAGCCAATTTTATCTGTTGAGCTATCTAATTTTATGGTCACAAGGTGTGCACGTGCAAATGCTGCTGTGTGGTGTGTTTGAAGTGCATGTGAAAATGATTTTATATTTGCAGTGTGTAAGAGTGATCATGAGGTTGTGATAAAGAAAGAGAAATGATGTTGTAACTTGCCAATGCAAGCGTTCTTAGGGTGTGTGTGTTTGTATACATGCGTGTATGTGTGTGAGAGAGAGAAAGACAGAGTGTGTGTTCGTGCACCAGTTTTATTTTACTGTTCTGTTTGTTTTGCATCTTACTGTAGGTGTGGGGAGGGAGCAGGGGTTCTGGGAAGTGTAGGAAATGAGTACTTTCTCATGTTGCTGATTTTGGCTCAACACCAGTAGAGTTTTTCTGCTGCATCTCTGGGTGTCTGTCTTCGCAACATAGCACTTTTGTTGTTTTAAAAGTTCTATGTGTCTAATTTTTGCTTAATGAATACAAAATAAATATATTATTTTATGTCTAAGAGAGAAAAAAAATAGCTAAAGAATCAACTGAACTAACAGACATGATTCCATCGACTTTGTAAGAGTTCCTCTTCAACAGCAGACAGAGGCCTGTTTGCACTGACTAAACCTACATCAGTGCACACTTGTATTTCTTTGAATATATATATATAAATATGGGCATACATACATATATGTATAGGGCTTCTATGGAGATATCGTCCCCGTTTACGAAACTATTAAAATACAATTCAGGCTGAAACGGCCCAGCGTAAAGAACTCCCGTGTAAAGTTGTTGCCATTTGAAACATACCAAGCCCAAAAACATTCAAGGTGTCTTTGTAAGAGCTCTATATGTATATTTATGTATAAAATATTTAATATTTATTTATGTATACCAGATGCATACATGCTGATTGTGCCATGTGCCAAATTAAACTGTAAAAAATTAAGAATATAAAGTTTCACTAAACTTTTTCCTTTCTTGATCATACTTCCTTTCTTTTTGTGACTTATTTCCATTTCTAATGAGTTAAGGAGCTATCCTTGTGGCAACTGCAAGGCTCCCCCCCGAAAGGACTTCCTTTTTGCCTTCCTTCTTCCTCTCTGCTGCTCCTTCTCCCTCTTTCTCTTGCTGAAACCTTGGCAACTAAAAACACAGACTAACAGCTTGGGGCCTGTCTGTGTGCATGACTCCAGATTTTACTGTAATTCATGCAAAGTAGTGCTGCAGCAGTGGGAGATTGTAAAAAGATTGCCTTGATGCACTCACACGGCATCCTATTATATGTTAATCTCGTGGAGAAAACTGGATTTATTGATTCTGCGAACAAAACTGACAATTTTCATTTGGTGTCTCCGTGCAACCCCAATTCTCTACGAAGTGTGGTAATGCTATATCAACTTTGGAGTTTTGGTACCATAGAACTCAACATATTTCTGAAGTAGGCCATTACGGCTCCCCTTGGTATTTAATGATTGGTAACGCAGCAGAGCGAGAAGTGCAGTCTGGTCAGCTCATCAGTGATGTTGCCGGTAGCAGAGAGGAAGAAAGAAAGGGAGGGTCTATTTGAGGAAAATCATTTGGATATTGATATGACCCATTGTAGTTTTGCTCATTTTGCCTTATAAGAAGTTCACTTCCTGATTTGCGCCATCGTACAAAATGAGAAAACCTACGTTTATGTACAGGATCATTTACGAAAATCTCCATGAAGTATACAAGCAATCTAATTACAACAATCCTGCCATAGATTGAAACCCAAACAGTTGAAATAAAATAAAGACTTTTCAATACCTCAGCATTCAACAACGTTGTGTTTTATTGAAATGCAGCACTCTGCACATGCACTGGCAGTCCTGGTAAAGTCGTGTTAGCAGTGTGAAAATGAATTCTTCTTTTAATGAGATGATGCAATCTACAACTGAAAGGGATAAAGTCATTCTTTAATTATTGTGCATTCATTTTTTAGAGGGGCAAAAGGTTATGATTTGTTTTAACCCTTTAAAATCACTACAAAATAAGTATAGCTGAAATTTAGTGCATCTGTGGAACTACTTCGCCACGAGCCAAATCATCAAGAGTTCATATTAAAACAGAGAGGACAAGAGGTTGCATTAGGATCCGACTTCACAACACTAAAAACCAAAAATGGTCAGTTGAACTCAGATGTACATTTATTACAAATTATTTAGTCACATCTGCCAACTTAGCAGATTTCCTCTAGCTGTCAAGATACCCAACAAAGAAATTCACATGCAGAAAAAATATCAGGTGATAAGAAAAAGGAAAGAAAACAGCAGGAGCATCTTGAACGTGGCCACTGTAAATGGATTAGTGTGACACCATGCTAGCTCCATCAGAAAATATACTCATCTTTTAAATAGGTCACATCATTACCAAAGCCTGTAGAGGGCATTGTAGGTCACCCTTCATTTATAGACTATCTGCCTGTTTTTATCGTCATATTTATGGTCCCAGGGCTTAAATTTATTACAGGCACATAAATTAAAGATGCAAAAATCTTTTTTCAACAACACACAATTTATATCTTTAGATTAGTGTTTGGAAATATTATGGTGGATCAATTTTTCATTTTCTTTTATTTCTTTTTTTCTTTGTTTTATGTTATTTATTTATTTATTTATTTATTTATTTATTTATTTGATGAAATGATCCAGAAAAGAAACTCATTAAAACTCTACCGTTTCATCAAACATTGCACCACACTTCAGCACATTTCAGATTTTATTAACTTTAGTTTTTAACTGGTGTTTCATGAACAGGTGGCCATAAACAAAGCTCCAAATAAATGCTGCTTTTTAGCACCATGCTTTAAGGATTTGTGAATCACTAACAAGCTGCCATTTATAATCCTAGTCATTACTGATTGATTATGTGATAGATGCAGACAATCTGCTGATGAGACTGTCTAACTCTGGGTGAAAGCTCCAGAATTTTTTACAGTCAGGGTACCGTACATTGTGCCTCCTGTCAGCTTTTATTTCTGCGCTCATTTTTAAGAATGAAAGTTTTTACAACACAGAATGTAAAATGAAGTGGACTCTTTAGATGAGGGAGTAGGTTAACTTCCACTGATTCAAGCACATACAGGCATGCATTCTTTAAAAAGTCTCATACCACTTTGTCACTGAATTATTGTTGCCAATTATAAATTAGATTGATCTTAACGAAGTTGCTCTGACTTTCTGTTTAGTACCATGGTCCTGTTTTCCACTACATTTGAGCAGCATTTCTGTCCCAATGGAAGAAAAGCATCAACAGAGCTTGCCAGTGTTAGGTACCATGTTACAGCTCTGAAAAAAAAAATGAAGAGCCCAGTGCACTGAAAATCTAATGGTTATTCCACAAATAGTGATTTCTGAACTCCTCCTCAGTTAAAACATTAGTATTGTTGTTTCTTAATGAATGTGAACTTGTTTTCTTTGCGCTTTTTGAGGTCTGAAAGCACTCCATCTTTTTTTGTTATTTTGACCAAGACAAGATGATCAAAATAACAACTATCTTTGTTATTTTTCGCTAAATGAATACTAAGTTTTTGCTTGGAATTTCAGAGACTTGTCAGTAGCTCATAAAATAAAAGAACAATATTCATTTTATTCAAACATATACCTATAAAGAGAAAATCAGAGACACTGACTAATTTTAAGTGGTCTCTTTTTTCCACAGCTGTAAGTGCAAAAACTTCTGCTCTTGTTTACTGTGTATCCTACGTGGCTAATAGATCAAAAAGTGTTTTTTGTTGTTGTTTTCTTTCATATCTCATTTTATTTTTGACCAAGTGCAAACATATGCCACATTTTTTAGATTTTGATTCTCAAACAGTTTTGAAAATTCTGTTTTCGGTTCCCTTACTATTAACTTTCTGCTAGCACATCACATGACATCTCAATGGAATTACTGATTTTTGAGAGTAAGTTACCATAAAATGTGAAACAAAACAGTGAATGCGGTTAAAATTCGGCAGTGGAGGTTAGAGAAAACTTTCAAATAAAAAAAAACATACAGAAGGTTGCCATAATATTTTCAATCTAGCTTTAAAGCAGGGCAAATGTAAGAGTGCTGGCCAGGGTACACACGATGGCATCTGGGGCAAAGTTTTGGATACATTTCCCTCAGAAGAGCCACATAATTACACAAAACCACTGGGGAAACTCTGTGAAAACTCCAGCAAGACGAGATGAAGTTCGACTCGTCCTTTAATGACACCGAAATGTTGAACTAAATCAGCCCAAACGTCAGGTGACATGACCCACCGACAGGATGAGAACGAGCAGGACTCATTTTCGAACAGTCAAGATCTGTTTGCAGTTCATTGAGTGTGCGTCCACGAAGTGGCATCATTCATGGACGAGCTCGGAATACCCCGATGGGGTTTGTGACTGTCCTGACAGCGGCGAAGACAAACGTATTCTAGGAAATGGATGTGCCAAATTACACAGTGGCACCCGCTGGGACAGAACTGCAGGTGTGGCTGTGGGTTTCTTGCTGCGTGTATGTGTGAAGTTACTGAGAATTTTATTTTCACAGCAGAGAACGTCTTGTTAAGTGTATTTCCTCTCACATTTTCTCTCCCTTGCCTTCATCGCTTTCCTTTTGAGCCTCATTCGCCTTCATTTTCTGTTTTTCTTATTCAAATCTTCCCTATAGAAAATTCAGTTTTTTTTTTCTTTTTTCCAGATCTGTTTCTGTCTCAGGAAAACTGCCTCAGGAGCATCTTGCTTTAATTTAAACTTTCTTAGTTCCCTAAATGCAAACTTCTCGCTAATTTGGTTTCATTATCTTGAGTTAACATATCTCTGTGGACTAAGAGGTTAATAAACAGCCATCATTAAAAAGCAAGTCACTAAACGATAGCCTGCTCGTTTTAAATGTAGCTCCCTGCCCAGTGAGAAATAGCACTAATTTTAACTTTAGAGCTAAAAGTAGACCTCATTTAGAGATTGCTCGAAAGGTAAAATATGAGTTGTGCAGCAAGAATTGAAAACACAAAGATAGGATACACATTGTTTGTTATCCGGTCAGATCAGTAAGGAAATCACAAGACTGGTGATCAAAGAGTTGTGAATTTGAGACAGACTGTGGCTGATTTCTTGTTTTTATTCATATTGGTCCATCTTAGCAAACACAAGTGTGCATTTAGACTTCTAATAAGCATCTTCAACCAATCCTAGTCCTGTAATTCTTTCAAACCTTTGGTAAAAAAAAACAGCATAGGAATGGTGAAAACATGGTGATAGCAACATCATGTTGTACGAAGCTGGGCTTTTTCTTGCTCCACTGCAAAAACATCCTCATAAAACTAATTACGTTTATAAGGTTTCAATGTGACCAAAAATTAAATATATAGTATAGTATAGCATATTCCATTTTAATTCAAATGCAAGGACTTTATTTTTGGACATCACTGCAATCTGCATACATATGTAGGAAATAAACATAACCTTCAGGTCAATGAGTATAGCATCTGGATTCTTTGAGGACTGTTGCAAAACAAACACACCTTCATTTTTCTCTGTCCTGTGGAAACAAATATGGTCTTCCCTGAAAAACACTTAATCTGGATGGCAGCATATGCTGTTCTAAAACCTGAATACATCATTTAGGATTAATTGTGCCTCCACAGATGTGCAAGCTTCTCATTCTGCGTTCACTAATGCACCCTATGCCATTGCCAATGAACTCTGTCCTGTCATAAGTGAGAGAGAAGGCCTCAGTGATCTACACTGCAGAGTTCTGTATGTTTTTCGTGCAATCCTATTTGACTCCATAGAGAAAATATTTATTTTGTGCAAATTTTCCTTAGAAACCATCCGCTATAGATTCTTGAATGAATGTCAGAGAATAAGTATGTACCCTTTTTCCAGAGCTAGGCCTAAACACCCGCATTCCTGAAAGTGTTTCTAAATAATATTTAGTGAAATGTTGGTTTCAGCTTATTTGAAATGAAACATTTCAAATGTAAGGGCTAGTGTAATTTTCTGTGTTAATGCTTTTTATTACATCAACAATTTCCCACATTTAAATAGAAATTCTGTACTTTTTTTTTTTTTTACTACCTGAAACTAATTTTATTGGGACCAAATGCAATGTAATCCTATTGCGATAAAATTGACTAAAAAAAACACCAGTAATGCGCAATTGGTGATAATTTTTTTTAATGGGTCACATCTGTCTTATCACCAAGAGACTCTAGAAATTGTTGAAGGTTTTTGGACACTGGAGTACATTAGAACGTACTAGAAGGTTTAAATCTTTGTACTTTCTTGTTGTCTTTAAACAGATAAAATATAGATAATACATAAAAGTAAAGCGAAAACCTTTAATGACATGGTTTAAATGCAGCTTTGGGTGCAACAATCTGAGGCAGCACTGCAAAAATAGAAAAAGACCAAATGTATTGTGCAGTTGAGCAGTAAAAAGAGGCCAGTTTGGCTTTTACAGAAGTCCAATAAACAGGAGTAGTCACCATAGTTCATCTCATACAAGCATTCCCACCTGCCCTGGGCCTAAAGCTGCTTGTCGACTACATAATGATCTGCCCTCTATAAGATAGATGGCCTCAAGATTCCACTGAGGCTGCCGAGACTAAAGCCTGTATGCTGCTGGCGCGTTAGGGAAGTAAAGACAGCAGGCAACAAACGTGTTTTATCTCCAGTCTCATGCGTGGAATATGCGGGTATTATGAAATGCTGATTGATGGCTGACTTTTCTTACTGTCGGTTCCAATTCAGGGTGCAGGATGGGAAAAGACATTGAATAGCAGAATTCAAAATCTCC